TACTTCATTCAAGCTGACGCTCACAGAAATGCAACGCGGAATACAGGACGCAATATTCAACGATATTTATTTGTTTAACCCCCATGGTATACATTTCTAGTCATTTTCAATTAAACAAACCCTCGGTTTCGTATATTTCTATTCGTTTCGCCGTAGTGTCTCAGGTTCGTCGCTAGAGTCTCGTGCTCGCAGAAACATGTCAATCAAACTTACTGCACGTTCAAGTTCCTGAATAGGTTCTTCGCCTCTGTTTCTGCGCGTTCTGGTTATTCAAAGTAACAATAATATGACTATTTGGAGCAAACTGCTTATTTCGCATACAAATGAACCCCGTTAAATATAATATTTTGTTATTATTCGGGAAATCACATCACAAAGGGAGCCAGCTGCTGTGTGTAAAAGCAATTACGCATGGCTTACACATGACTTTATAAGTCGAAACTGAAAGTTGCGTTTAAAAATGAATTAAGCTCACCAATGAAGGCAAATCCGGACGAAAACAAGCAGATCCATGTGAGTACAAGCCCGGATCTCCAGCGGACAAAGGGACCCAGGTGTAACGGCATCTTTATCACCTTCTCGTTCAAGTTTAAGTCAGTAATATCTGCTGAATGAGCTGCGAGGAGTATCTGCTGTCTGTCTGGGTTTAGTTTTTGAAATATTACACCGATCAACGCATTTATAAGTCCTCTTTCAACACATATCCTCTTCCTGTACCTTGGCCATCAGTGCGTCTTCGTTGCTCAGAGACAGCAGCGCATCACAGGTGTGGTAAATAAAGACGCGACTCTAATATCTTCAGCTCACTCACCCACATACACACACTCCAGATGTGTGAAGAGAGAGAGCAAACGTCCTCACTCTTCGTCTTCTCACTCTCCGCTGCAGAACACTTGCTCCGGTAAAGAGTACGGTGGATATTGGCTTTAGTGCGCGAACATCTGCTGCTACAGCAATGCAGGAGTGAGGAGACGCGATGTATAGAGCAGAGAGGGAGCAAAACCCGGAGCGGAATCCAGCTCCATCACTGGAATGGAGTGCGGAGACCCTTGGATACGACGCGTCATGTAAGTGAATAAGTGAATAAAAGCGCCTTTAGAGTTTTATAAATAGAAGAGACCGGGCTAGTTGTCACACGTTTGCCGAAATGAATATGTTTAAAAGTAGTTTTTTTTAATAGAGTTTAGTCGTGGCTAATAAATAAATAAATAAATAAATAGCTACTTAACAGTTTCTGCCAGTTACTGCCCGGGAAAAAGATAAAGTTCATTAAACACGTTGTCATTTTCTATAAACAGCTGCGAATATGGTTTAGGTTGTCATAATGTAACCTTCCATTAAAGAGACTATCCTAGACTTTTCAGCTTAGTATGAAACAGTATAAATTATAAAAAGGTTACATGGAAAAATATTAGATCATTGTTTTGGCCGATTATTTATTATTATTATTATTATTAATAATAATAATAATAATAGGTTTTCTCTCTCTCTCTCTCTCTCTCTCTCTCTATACACACACACACATTATTCAAATATTTCAATTTAAGAACTTTTGGGGGTTGGTGTTAAAGAATTGTGTTATAATAACTCCTACAAATACAACTCATTATATACACTATAAACACTTTAAAGGAGACAGACACGTAGATGTTTGTGAAAGATGTTTTCTCTGTTTTGGAGGGATGATTATTTTTAAATCATACCCTATTTAGTGCATCAAAATTTGTTAATACTTTACTATATTTAAGGGTGGATATTTTTTATCAGTTGTTTATTGCAACAATACATAACTACAATAACTTTGTCTACAACTCATTATATACACTATAAACACTTTAAAGGAGACAGACACGTAGATGTTTGTGAAAGATGTTTTCTCTGTTTTGGAGGGATGATTATTTTTAAATCATACCCTATTTAGTGCATCAAAATTTGTTAATACTTTACTATATTTAAGGATGGATAATTTTATCAGTTGTTTATTGCAGCAATACATAACTACAATAACTTTGTCTAGTGCTCTTATGAAAGTGTATAGCATGATTTGTGAAAATTTAACTATACTGAATGACATGGCATAGACTTCTTCATGGCTAGTTTTTGCGTATTTCATTTCATTCTGTAACC